TTTTCCAAGTGTTTTGTTTGAACTGGGTGGAGCTAGTTTAATTTTTTTTAGGAATATGAGCCATTGTGTTGTGTTTTGAATTGAAGCAATATCTCTTGACTTTGTTATGCCTTGAGAATAGTGAGTACTTTGGCTGTGACGCTTAGGCTCAGTTTTTGACTCTTGTAGAAGTACCTTAAATTGTATGATCTTAACTTTGCTTAACTGCTTTGACTAGAGTATCTTGATGAGTCCAATCCTGAGTGAGTTATGTGCCATGTGTGTGTAAGATTTCATGTTATTCTATACGTTGCATTTTATGTCTAGAACTTATCCCGTGTGTTTGCAAAGTGAAATAGTAGTTCCGTTCAGTCTTGGAAGTGATATAGACGTTTCGTTTTTTAGCCATATATATATTTTACCCGCCTAATTATTATGTATCGTAGTTAACCCCTTTGAGCATGTAACCCTGTTTCTTTGGCAACCACATTACAAGCCTTACCCAATTGTTTGAATTAACCATCTATTTGAACCTTTTCACCTCTAATGAAAACTTGAATTGTTATGAATTTTGTAAAAGTTTAAGTGTGAGGTGGTTGGTTCGGCTTTTGAGCGGAACTAATGAAATAAAGATAAATGTTCACTATTTTGAAAAAGTAAGAGCCACTTGAATTGAAAAATAAAGGGGGAAAATAGTTGTATTATTGTGAAAAATATTCTAGTGGTGACTCTTGATGTAATTGTGGTTAAAGAAGTAGGGAGTTAATATATATTGATGTCAAGGTGGAGTTATGGTTTGACATAAGTGTGGGGTTTTAAATGTTAGTGTATGTATTAAAGTGCTTAGGGAGGTATAGTCACTCTCATATCTAAATGTATCATACTCGTCCCGCAGCCTACATTACAACCAAATAAAGTCCTACTTGACCCTAGACTGAATGAGCTCGATTAATAGAGTAGTACACTACGGGCAAGACTATGGTGCATCTTTTGTGGCATATGAATGTTATTTCTGAGAGTGAGTGAATTCTTTCCATCGTGAGTTCCTAAGCGTTCTTAAATTTTATTGTGTGGAACTACTCTTTTTTGTTGTGTGAGGGCACTTGATTCATGAAGGAAAGGTAATGTCAGTGACCTCTATGTTAGAGCAAGTGAATGAGTTGTGAATAATGCATAGTACTTGTGAGTCAAATCTTGAGGTGAAGATGTTACACTTTTGTGCTTAGTCTATTTTATATATTCTTGGTGTGATGAGTTAGGAGAATTGTGTAAAAAGGTCGTGTCTATATAAAGTGTAGTTTGATTACTCAAAGATGAGCAATGGTTTAACTGTAGGTGTTGATAATAGGCTATAATTACATATTTTAGTCGCTTATTACATTCTAATTTACTGCACTTTAATTGAGTTTAAACTTTAATCGCTTGTGTTTTGCACTAAATGTGTGTTTGATACCTTGTAGGAGTGATTCCGATCTATGTAGATGTTATTGAGTGAATTCAAGTTATTCTTGAGCTTTGAAGTCTGAGTAAAAGCCCAATGATTAAGTTGGGTTTGTGTTCGGGGATCAATGGATGATAGTGCACTTTAAGAACGAAACAAAGAATCGAGTAGGCATACTGCGCATTGTCCAAAAAAATGGACATAACTTTTTGTGCAGAAATCCGATTGGGATCCACAATATATCGTTGGAAAGCTATTTAAAAGGGATACAACTTTCATGTTTTACATTTTTTCAAATTTCCACAGCCGCGCTGCGTGGGGCGCCCGGTAGCGCATCGCAGCCGTGTAAATTGATGTTGCCCTCAAATTGCATGCTCTCTGAAGTTCCCCACAAGCACACCGCATGGCGCGTCGCCCCATGCGGCACGCCTGTGCAAATTTTACGGAGCTAGAGTACTATTTCGTGCAGGAAAAGTGTTTTGTCTGGGCCCGACCCTACTTGGTATAAATACATGTAAAAATATTATTTTGAGGACTTTTAACACACTTTGGACCTAAGGAGGGAAGAACACATTAGGAGCAAAGTGGAGAATTCTTCTACGAGTTTTTTACTCTCTTCTTCATATTTTCATTATTGTTTATGAATTCTAGTATTGTAGTTATGCATACTATTATGAATAGCTAATTTGTTATATAGAGTTTTGATAGAACCTTTTGTAAGATAAATTCTTGTTATATTTTTATATAGTTGAGCCGTTGGATTTCTCTACTTGTTCAACTGCGTGTTTATTGTTATTGATTGAATGGCCATCAATTGACTGTGTCTATTTAGTATGTATTTCTTGGAAAATGGTACATATTTTGGTAGTTGTTGAACAACATCATTCCTAACGTATGTGGGGAATCATTACGAAGGGTTTAAAGGTGGGATTAGGAATAACGAAACATTGGTGCAATCTTAGTGAGCGGTAAACTAGTGCAGTTAGCGTAATTCGGAAGAATATGTCTAGTAAATTGTGGTAGTTGCTCGGAAGAGAATTATGACACCCGAAGTACTCACGATCGGTAGAGAATACTTAGGCGAAATTATAGAAGGCATAGCGGGAATGATTCCGATAATTGGGGAAATTATAACTCTAGACCTCCTTAGTCTTGTCTCAAATTTCATCCTTGTTAGTTGATAATTTTATTGCTTTATAATATCTGTTAGTTAATTAGTTAGAAATAAATATTATAATCTCTATAATTAGTAAATTATTTGGATTTGTGTTTCTTAGCAATATTGAACAATTGTAGCTAAGCCTTAGTTCAATGTGAGATTCGACTCCGGACTTGTAAACTGGATTATTTGCAACAACCGCTAAATTTTTTTTATAAGGCATAATTGGGCGTGATCAAATTTTGGCATCGTTGCCAGAAAAAAGACAGGTTCAAGTACGAAAGCACCGACACAATAAGCATTGTGATGCGAAGAGCTTTACTAGCTTCCAGAATTCAATGGAATCTTCGTAAAGTCGAACATTACGAGTGTTACGGTTCATTCGATTGGCATGTCTGATAAATACAAACACTTTAGTATATTAAAAAATATTTCACCTCTTTATAACTTTTGTCTGCTCCACAAGATATTCAATATGTTTATTATAGTAAAATCATGTAACGATTTTATCTGTACGATCCGCACAATTCAATCACAAGCAATTGAGAATTGAGCTAAAGTGACTAGGGGTGTCAATGGATATTCGAAAATCGACTAAATTGACCGAACCGTACCGCACCGAATCGATTTTTAGGTTTCTTTTTAAGAAACCGTAGATTTTTATATAAATATATAACCGCACCGATAATTAGAGTAGGTTTTTTATTTTATAAAAATAAACCGAAAAAATACCGAACCGAACCGAATAAATTTTACATGTAGAAATTATATTTATTTAGTAAGTTTAAAAATAATAATGCATTAAATTTTCTTTGAGCCTTGGAATTATGAAAACTATTACAAGCCAACAAATAATTAAACTCAAAATACTAATTCCTAAAACCTATTATGCTACTTCTACTTAAACTAAGTTATTTCAAGTATCTTTATTAGCAAGACACAAAGTATTCTAGCGATTATGAGTAGCAAACTACAATATATTGAATATGTTTCCTTTCATATAATTTAAATTTATCTTTTTGAATATTTAATCTTCGATTGACTTTATTCTTGAGTCCCAGCTTGGTATATCTTTCAACTCGTGTGATTAATATTTTATTTGCCTTTGTTTGATTTCTTTTACGCTGTTGTAGAATAGTTGATGGATCTATACTCTAGTCATCTTTTTTTTTTTAATTCATCACCTTTTAAACAGTAAAAATGTCTAGAGAATTTTGCTAAGTCCTATAAAAGAACGTATGTTATTGAAATTCTACTTCTACTGGTGATTTTTATATGATATTAAAAAATTACCGAAAATTAACCGAACCGTACCGATACCGAAGAGAAACCGACATGATTGGGACGGTTTCGAAAAGTCTAATTTTGGTTATACATAATAGAATAACCGAAAAATTGGTATGGTACAAATTTTATAAAATAACCGGCCGAACCGAACCATTGACACCCCTAAAAGTGACTATTGACTTATCATTTTTTTAAGATCACGTAATTGACATAAGTGTCATTACATTTTTATTTGCTTATTGTTAATTTTCTCTTGGTATTATCTATCAGTTGCTCTAAATATTGTAGAAAGAATTTATGCGAATCCGGATGCATGCACCAAACTATGTTAATCTACTATGATTGAGTGATAAATTAAAGTATGAATACATATATAAGTTTACCATGGCTTAGTGATAAACTTTACAGAAACATATTTGCTTGGCATATACATCGAATGCAAATACATTTCTACATATTTATAATTCTGAATTCAGCATTATAAGAAAGTGTTTAAATTAAAAAAAAATAATTAAGAGATAAATTCAAGATTACTTATGTTTTATCTCATATTTTCATATGCAACATAACTTTCATTTTCAAAATGTTTAGATATTGATAATTATTATTTTCTTTAGTTTATTATTGCCTCATGCCAAGTATTATTTTTTTTCCACACATGCTAATAAACCAAGTACGAAATTGAATAAAGTTGTATTATAGACCAACTAGTTAAATTACGCTGTTATAAACAACTAGTTAAATTACACTGCAATTATTATAAACAACTAGATCAATCATTCTTTCTTTCGCCTTAATTTTTTTCCTTGTTGGCCTATTCACGTATAAAATTGTTTGTTGGGAACAATAATAACAACCTTCCGTTATCGTCCAGCGGTTAGGATATCTGGCTTTCACCCAGGAGACCCGGGTTCGATTCCCGGTAACGGAATTATTTTCCTTTTCGCTTTTTCCCTTCTCAAATAGTATTTTACTCTTTGTTTATTTATCCGATTAAAAGGGCATGTTTCCCAGTATGTTATACAGAGTATATACTTTTATAATTATTATTATATACCTTATCTCCAAATCATGTGAACAACGAACAACAACATGCCCAGTGATAGACCCTCAGCATGTGAGGAACGAAACATCTAAAAATAGAATAATCCAACAATAATTGTCACTGTATATAATTCTGCATTATAATCCATACAAAACTTGCCTGTGAACCAAACGATCTCTAACAGTTAATAATCAGTTTACATAAAAGGATAGTGGAAGTGTAGACGGTACAATAATATAATGTACAATATCAGGTAACCAGGACCAATTTAGTTACGTTTTCATATTTGCAGCACGTGAATCCTCCAAACAAAGGCTGAAAACTACCTCAACATCACCAAAAGGAATGAACTTAAGAGCACACCAAGAATAAGAAAATTGCATTTGACAGAAAGCCTCTTTCGCTCTCTCTTCTTTATATCGTAAGTTTCATAGACTGCACTTCTGAACTAGACACAACCTTGTCAATTCTCGCTTATTGCCTTTTCGATATCAGCCTGCAACAAAAATCAAGCAAGATTTTTTACTTAGCTGTCAACGCCATTTAGGAATGTACATGGACCAACTACAGGAACAAGCAATTAGTTCTCCAATTGGATATCATCAGACCCAAAAATATATGACATGAAAAACTTGAAGTATTAGACAAAATATAAAGACGGACTAGTTCATGATCTCTACATGAGATACCTGAAATGTAAACAAGTTGAAGACTCCTCAATCTACTTGGCACTAATATATGGTCTTTATTCCCTCATTCCACAACTTGACAACATCCCAAGGCGAATAAGAGATTCAGATGTAGAAGCTAATAAGAAGGGGAACCTTGGAGCAACGATCAAATTGTCTCCGTGTGACCTATAGGTCACAGGTTCGAGCCGTGGAATCAGTCACTCACTGATACTTGCATTAGGGTAGGTTGTCTACATCACACCTCCTTGGGGTGCAGCCCTTCCCTGGATGTTGCGTGAACATGGGATGCTTTGTGCACCGGGCTGCCCTTTTTAGATATAGAAGCTAACAAGGTGGGGTTTCGGGAATCATTAGTATGCCTATATATCATAATCTCTGAAAGAAATTAAATGTATGCAAAGAAGAGATAGAACAACAACAACAACAACCCAGTAAAATCCCACTAGTGGGGTCTGGGGAGGGTAGTATGTACACAGACCTTACCCCTACCCCGAAGGAGTAGAGAAGTTGTTTCCGACAGACCCTCGGCTCAAGAAGACAAACGGCAAAAGGAGACAATATCACTACCACCACAGAAATCATAGGAAAAATAGAAACAGCATGAAATCCAGAAGAGATGCAAAGCAAAAGCGATAGCTAGTAAATAGGCCCGGCACTATGAAAAACGAAATAGTAAGACACAACAATGCCACTAGCGATCTTATACAAAAACCCTGCCAGACTAGTCTTACAAAGGTACGAAGTAAGGCAAGACTCAACTACCTCCTAACCTACAATCCTAATACTCGACCTCCACATCTTCCTATCAAGTGTCATGTCCTCGGAAATCTGAAGTCTCGCTATGTCCTGCCTAATCACCTCTCTCTAATACTTCTTAGGTCGCCCTCTACCTCTTCTCGTGCCCTCTACAACCAGCCACTCACACCTCCTTACCGGAGTATCTGGGCTTCTCCTCTGTACATGCCCGAACCATCTGAGTCTCGCTTCCCGCATCTTGTCATCAATGTGAGCCACACGCACCTTCTCCCAGATATTATCATTCCTAATCTTATCCACAAGAGATAGAACAAATGTCTTATATTTCTGTTCAAAACGGAAATTTATTAAGCTCTATAGTCGTTGTTCCTTTTTCCTAAAAAATGTGATACTGTTACTTTATCAACTATAGCATACTCTCGAGTTCAGTAAAATTCTTCTGAACAAACACTACTATCAGTTCATGGGCAGTTCTCTTCTTTTTTGTTCATTTCCTACAACTTCCCCACATCCCACTGTATGAAACTATAACTTGTGTTATCCTGCACGAGAAGATCCCAAAATATTTATGCCATGGTAACCAGGGCAAACTTAGGTTTTATAAGAAAGACAAAAACAACCATAGCCTGAGGAGTGGAATGGTCTAAAAGGCCAACGAAAATAAGATGGCTCTGCATAAATTTATCCAATCCTACTATGCTATACTTCAACCATGGCCACTTTATCAAAAAACTATCAACTATGGCCTCTGGACTAAAAGGAATGGTGACTGAGGGAACAACCAACATTTAGGTTTATTAGAGAACAAGTATACAGGATAATCAAAGAGGTTTCTCAGAGTTCTTGAGGAGAAGTGATAAGGTGTATTTACTCAAAACCACTGCAACAGCATTAAGGGCAAGAGAAGGATAACCAGACAAACTTCAGCATCAGAGAGAGAAAGAGAGAGAGACCTTGATTGATAATGGTGGAGTAGTTGAGCCATAGCGGCGGATAACTTTCCCGTCCTTATCAACCAAGAACTTGGTGAAATTCCACTTAATCCTGGAACCTAAAAAACCACCTTTGCTTGCTTTAAGGAATTTGTAGACTGGTGCTGTATCCGGCCCATTAACTCGCACCTGAGCATCAAATAGTTTGTGATTCCAGTTTGTTACCAAAACCTCTGTGTTTCAATCAAACAACAATACAAACTTTATTCATAGATTTGTTCAAAATCTTAATTAACAAGATTGAATGACATATAGTATGCAGAATGTTATCCCCCGCAAGAGGCTGCTTCCAGATTAGGGCAGAAAGACAAGAATATGTTCATGATAACTAGAAAACTTGATCTCTTCGATTAAAAATGAAATAACCTCCAAGCCTAAATTTCACCCTGGGTAAAATAAGAGCTTAATAGAGATATGACAGTTTTAAAGTTATTTCAGGTAGGATGTGAAAAGATATAAAATTGGACTCTTTAAGACTATAAGAATCAAAGCTTAATGAGACAACAACTCATTCTCTCCACTAATGTGGGACAATTAACAATATAAAACCACAACTACATCAACATAAGAACAAGGGACAATTTCAATCCAAACAGTGCAAGACCATCCTTGCTGAGGGAAACTAAATGCGGTTAGTAAATAATCAAAATATTTTAAGCATTTCAATATGTTGATGTACACTAGTGCTGAAGATATAACAATCTTGTGCTCGCTATAATAGTTTAAACTTTTAGAGAAGACGGTCACACATTTCAACATGGTACCAGAGTAGGCAGAAGTCCTGGGATCGAGTCACACGGCTACCCATTATCAAATTGAATTTTCACGTACTTGGCCCAAAAAAATCAGGCTCGCACGTGAGGAGGCGTGTTGAAAATATAATTAAACAAACAAAAGTGTACTCTCCCTAACAGCTTAAGTTTTTAAATAAGATGATCACATACCTCAAAATGAGCAACACACAAAGTCACATATATTTTAAAATTAATATCAATTGTTCACTTTAAGTATAATGTTGCCAAAAGTTAAAGTGAAATAACTCTAGAAAAAATTATTCAAGCAATATTTATTCAGAGAAGGAAAAAGAAAAAGGAAGGAGGGGGGGGAGATCGGAAGA